AAATATAATTAAACACAATTATGACTTATCTGCTATGATTGTTACCTTTGTCTTTAATTTTAGATTTTATATTCCTACATAAACCTAATCTTATCAAAATAATTTCTTTTTTTCAACATACATTTTAAATATCATCATGTCAAATTCATATTTTTCTTACACCTTTTCCGTTTTGAATTTCTTTTTGTATGGAGTTTGGTTGGCATTAGACTGAAGGTTGTAAAGGTCCTGTCACCTCCTCTCTCCAACACCATTGTCACAATGAGTAATTTGACATTGGACTCAAAACCTAAATATGAAATAGAAAACAAATATATATATAAAAAAGAAATTAATAATAATTATGAATCACGAAATCAATTTAATTCTTTATTCAAAATTATAACATTATCAAATTAACAAAATTATAAAAGTAAAAATAATAAAAAAAAGATTAATAAAAATAAAATAAAAAATACAAAAAGTTAATAATTATATAAGATCGCTTTGTATCGTAAAAATTGGCCTTTTTATATTCTTTTCAATCTTCTTTATAACTAATATTCATAACTATTCAAATCTATTTTATCACGCGTTATAATAATAAATCCAAAAGAATTCTTTATGCAAATTACATATAAAGTACGAAGCTAAAATATACCACAAAATCCAACAGAATTATTTATGCAAATTAAATATGTACGAATCTAAAACTTACAACAGTTTTTTTTATTTTTTATTTTAATTTTTACAAAACTTTTAAAAAATAATATAAGACTCCAGAAATGTTTTATAATTCTATAAATTTCTGAAAATTTAATTTTTGATGTTTTATTCAAAAAATTTTGGACACAGCCTTAAGTAAATAATTAATGTAATAGGTTAAAAATGAAAAGTATATATCAATTAATTTGAAGACAAAAAATAATAAAGGCGATTAATATAAAATTGTAATTAAGGAAAAAAAAGAGATAAAAATTTAAAAACAAATTGTTTAAAAGGGATAATAGTAAAGAGAAACTAAGGAGAAGAAAATTAAGTATAAGGAGGCATGAAATAATATTCGATGGAAGTAATAAAACTTATTAGAGCATATAATTGTGTTAACAAGCCTTTGTGGTTAAATAATAAATTCCTTAGGCTGATCAGTCTTAAGTGCTGAGCTTTGATGCCGAAACGTGCCTAAAATGAAGCAGGCGATAGATATGAATGAGTAAGAAGAATCTATGGAGATGTAATTGGTGATTTTTCGGGTCTCTGCAAGGGTGAGAGCATCGACATTTTGGTTAGATGCTGCATTTAGATCAAAGCAGGTGAAGGTCCAAACCAGAAGTTGATTCCTCGCCTAAAGAATTAAGGATATTCTATACGATCATTTTCCATCAGTTCTAAATATGGTGGTTGGTTCCAATCTAGAGCGAATGCCAACGGATTTAAATACTGGCAAAATGATGCTATTGAATTTGAAATTCCATAGGAAACTGATTCGACAAAAGAGGGGAAGGAGGCAGTGTTGTTAAAATAGCGCGCTACTTTTTTCAGTAGCGGTAGCTTTAGCTGGCTACTTTTTTTGGAAAATAGCGATAGCCGTAGCTCGTTACTAATTTAGAAAGTATAATAAATACATTTATAAAATATTAAAAAAATTATCATCCTTTTATTTTATGAAATTTAAATTTATATTTAAAATTATACATTATAAATGTAGTTAGCATTATAAATGTAGTTATTAAAAATGTGTGAGATTGTTGAAGATAGCGAAATTTCTTTGGAAAATGAGAAAAATATAAATTATCCTTTCTATACTATTAATATATAGTATTAATATAAAATTCAAAATTAATATATTATTAATTACCTTGTGTATAATAATTATATATTTAAAATCTTTATTTACCATAATTTAATGCTATTTTAATATTTTTTTATAAATGAATCTAAATCTCAGATAAATTTAAATTTTGAAAATTAAAAAGGTATTCTTCTTTTTTTATAAATACAATCGCTTTATATAAATTAGATTTCAGATCTGTATGATGATGATAATGTAATAGCTGCTATCGTTCATCCTAGATTTAAGTTAAATTGGCCATACAATAATTTAACTGAATCTAAAGGACAACTTGATAGGCTGATGGTAACGTTAAAAAATGTCATGCCTAACCACGATACTAATACTATAGCAAGATCGAAACCGCGGCCTTCCATAGATGGTTTTTTTGAAATAAATAATAATAATAATATTATTGAATCTCTAGATGCTTTTTTTAAATCTAAAAATACACATTTAAATATTTTTATGATTTTTTTCATATAAAAAGTGTGTTTATTAAATTTAATACTGCGTTGCGCTAAAGTGAATGCTGAACGATTATTTAGTATGGCAAAGCTTATACTTTCTGATCATCGCTCTAGATTTGGGGATGACAGTACCGAAATGTTATTATTTGCAATGATAAATAAATTATATATATATATATATGTAACAAATTATAGTCATGTTTTTATACCAATATTTTATTTGTGGAAATAATGTTACGTAAAAATATTTTAAAAAAAAATCAAAATAGCATAAAAAGTAGCTAATAGCGCGCTACTCATTTGAAAATGATAGTGGTAGCGCGCTTTTTTTTATAAAATAGCGGTAGCGATAGCGCGCTACTTTTAAAAGTAGCGTAACAACACTGGAAGGAGGTAATGACTATTCTTTCTATACACTGGTTTAACAATGTTTACACTGGTTTAACAATGTTTACACTGGTTTAACAATGTTTACACTGGTTTAACAATGTTTACACTGGTTTCACAATGTTTACACTGGTTTCACAATGTTTACACTGGTTTCACAATGTTTACATTGGTTTCACAATGTTTACATTGGTTTCACAATGTTTACACTGGCTTTACTAGTTTACATTGGAGATAAAACAATTTCGCAGTTGAGCCATAATCCAATAGCAAATCTTAGCTCATCTGCGAAAAGAAGAAAATCGAGATTGTTAGAGGGTATGGTTTCCAGGAACTCACAATCAGATCCTTGATTCACGTGGTGAAAAACTGCTAGATCGTAATAATGAAGGCTCAATTTTAGATAAAAGACAGAACCTTCATTGAGCATAATATACTAATCATTATGTGAACACTAGGAGGTCTGTATAGTGTTTGGACGAAATTGTCCCAAATAGTCTTGGTTTCAGCTAATAAAGGGTCAGCAAATGGGGAAAGCTGGCTTATATATGAATCATCTGAGAAATGGGAAGCAATGAATCTACATAGAAAGAGTTAGGGATGAGCGTAAGCCGATGTTAAAAGTGATACCTGTAACCATGAGTTATGATCAAAGCGCATATTAATGATCTCTTCAGCCAGAGATTTAATCTAAGTTTCAAATGATTTTAAATAATAGGAAATTTGAGTTAAAGCGAAGAGCAAAAATGAATTTAATAAGAGAATATTCTGACGACTGAGAAAAAAGGTGAATATAAAGACATGATATTTATAAGAATTTATGAAATATATTTTTATTTTATAGGAAAATTAAAAATGAAAGCCATTACTGTAATAGCTTACAATTAATCAAACTAAATATAAAAATATAGGGTATGTTTTTTTTTATTGTGCATGTGTATGAAGTAGATATAATAAATTATTGTTAAATAAAATATGAAAACATGTTAAAATGAAACTACGCGCGGTTGGAAAAGCATGAATTATTATTTTTCCAAAAAGAAAAAAGATTAAATACATAAGAAAAATGTTTTAAATTTTAATAATAATGACGATTCATTATTTAATCTAATAATAATGTGATTCATTATTTAATTTAATAATAATGTCAGTGTTGTATTGGGATACAGCAGAGACTTGTAGAAATACTATCTGCGCGGCCAGGATTTTATATTTTCAGGCCTGACAAGGCTGAAATTTTTTATTTGATTTAAAATATTCGGCCCGGACACGGTATATTTAAAAAAATTAAAATACTACCAAAGGGGCTTCAAAATCTCTTTATTTTAAAGCAGTTACCGAGAGCGATTTAAAAAAATTCTTAATTCAATTTATCAGGAACTGTATATCAGTATATATAGAAGTACCTACCCTATGAATTTTAGATAACTTTCGCTGTAAACCTTTGTGTATTTTTCTAAATTTATATGAACAGATCATTCAAAAATAACTAAAAATTAGGATTTGTTTTTAAAAGTTCGTGGCAAAATTGTTACTGAAATACATTTCCGGTCAAATGAGATTTTTTTAAAATTTAAAAATCGTTCTCCATGAATGATCCCAAATCCCCATGAATTCCATATAATGATGTGACGTATATATTTGTTACTTTTTTTTATAAATAATGTCTTAAAAATCGAGTAACGACAAAAATTGATGGATGATGTATGAAATAACAAAATTTATTATTTATCTTTAAATATTAAAATTTTAAATGTATAAAAACAAAATCAAAGGCTAACCCCATAATTTTTAAGATAAATTAAATTTTTTTATATTAAAGAAGAAAAAAAAACACAATTTTTTTATGTTTTATTTCTTTCATTTTGCTAGTAAATATTTTGTTCATGTTTTTGTAGAAGGACAATAGCTATAAGCTAGAAATTATTATATAATATATATAATGTGTCCTACACATTCACATTCACTTTATATTATATTTAATTTTTTTTTTATACTTATAAAATTTAAAGCACAAAGTATATCATTTGCAGTTAAATATGATTATGAGTTTTTGGCGATAATTACCGAACACATTAATAGTTGTTTTTGCTTTTAAATTTATAAAATATTTCCCTTCAAATAATATTTTTTTTATATGATAATTATAATTAAAATTTAAATATTAGATATACAATGAAATGAATTAAATTAAAAAAAACACTTTTTAGTTTTAAACTCTTAAATATTTATATAAATTATTAATAATAAAATGTGAAAATGGTCATTAAAAAAATATATTTCGAGATAAAAAAAACAATATTAAAAATATTTATTTTGTCGTTATTGTTTATTTCTATCTCTTTCTAACCATAATATTTGGCTCAAAATGATTTAAAATTATTACTTTTATATAAAAAAATATTCTTATTTTTCATTTTTTTTTTGTTTTATACAAATAATATTTAATAAAAAAAATTATGAAATTTCTTAAGCTAAAACGCAAAGTGATTCAGAAATTATCATTCGCGAGATATGGAAACAACGGGTATTCAGCCCTGTCTTCACTACAAAGCATTAACATTAGCGATACCGATAAGGTGAATTATTTTTTACTTATCCATCTCTCAGTTCATATATAAAGGTTTTTTTTTAAATTATCATTATTAATTATAAAATAGAATATTTTCCTCGTTCGCTTTCAGAATTAGAACGAACCAGGAACGCGAAAAATGTTTAAAAACTTATTAAGGTTTTATAAAAAAAATTTTTGATATACTGAATTATTTCATTTTAAATTACTTTTTTATAAAATGTTTTGAACGTTGAATTTTAAATTTATATTAAATTATTTCAAGAATTTTTATAAATTAACATGATTTTTTTTTATATAAATTATTTATATTATCATTTAAAAGGCTTTAAAAAAAACGCTAAATTCGGAAACAAATAATCGTCGAAAAATTTCCGTTACTTTTCAAAAAATGAAAATCAGGGTTAGAAAATTGATGAGGAGCGCTAGGAAATCGTGGGTGTATGTACCACCCGTTTTTGAAAATGACATCAATAAACGTCATCCATCGGAGATTTGCCAATATTTCGAATTCTTGTGCTTGATGTGATACCACATTTTGGAAGGCGAACATCTAAATTCAGGATCACAAATAATTATTTATGTAGATTAATACCACTATAATTTATTTTATATGTATGTAGAATATAATTAAAATATACGATTAGTCAATTTATAACAAATTTCTTGTTATTGTTTTAGTAAAAAAAAAAAGTTTTATTTTGAATAAATATAAAATATATTTTAAATTTTTAATAAATAGTTTCGTAATGAATGCAACCACTATACTAGCCATATTAGGAAGTGTAGCTATTCTAAAAAAAATGATTAAATAAAAGAAAAACGTTGCATTGATGTGTATGTAACTGCATCTTATTAAATATGTTTTAATCATCAAAATTAAATATTTTTATACGACTTTTAAAATTATAAAATCTTATTATTATTTTTTTTTTTAAATTTTAACATTAATAAATTTTAAAAAAATACATGTCATTCTCATATGTAATTAACTCCTGTTTCAAATATAAATGTTATTAAAGTTGTTAGTAGATTAATATGATTAAAAATATATATAATTTTAATTATTTTGACGGTTTCAGATAAAGCAACTCATGTTACTAGCAGAAATATGATTTTAAATTGGTGATTTCAAATGCGCATATTGCCCCCCGAGGGGTTAAAGGCAGGGATTCGAACCAAATTCGTGGAGAAGAAAACCCGGGTTTTTTAGGAAAAATTTTGTAACCCGACCCGAAAATTTTTTAACTGGTTTCAGAATATTGTTTAAAATCATTTAGTAAAATGGTAAATAAAAAATATTAATAATTTAATGAGATTTCTTTAATTTTCAATTTATTTAAATATAAACGGTTTAAATCTTTAAATATTAAAGATGATGAATAGATTTGTGCGAAAAGGCATCTTGTTAATTTATAGAATTTTATCTAATAGCTAGGATGAAGTTATTGTATAAGATGATTTAGCGAAATTAATAAAACTTAAAGAAAGGCAAGAGAAATTACTTTAAAAAAAGGGCCAACTTGCAGAGAAAAGAATTGGAACGATGATTGAATTTGACTATTTTAAAAGATTGGATAAGAAGAAAAATATTATATATTTATGTACCCTGATTTATATAACTTTTCCAAAATCATTTTTCCTATTCCTCTAACCAAAGTTATTTTCCCTTATTTTCATATAAATATATTCTATAGAGATTAGCGTTGAAAGATCCTTTTCACATCTGAAATTCCTTCTTTCACTGCGTAGATCGAGAAAGAGCAAGTAACTCTTTGAAGATATTAAGCTAATTACATCTAAATAAAAAAATTTTAAATTAATACATGAGTATGCTTTGTATTTTTAAATATATTTTGCCTATTAATAAAATAAAAATTTTATTTTTTTTTACTAAATTTATGTCTAGTTTTTTAATTATGAATTAAATATAGAATTTTTTTTTATCAATTCAAAAATTGCTAACCCCGAGCTGAACTGGAGCCAAACCCGAGTTTCCTCTGAACAGAACATTTTTATATTAAATTTTAATAATTCACAGTTTTTAAATGACTCCAGAGGCGGGCTGGTAGGCTAAAGGCCCCGTGGGACATTGTGGCCCCATATTTGGCCCCCCTTTGCCCTACGGCCCACTTTTGCTCGACCTGCGGCTGAAAATTATACGATTTTATTTGAAACATATTCCACATATTTATATACGATGATCTATTTAAAAGAATTACTCGTTCTTTAAGTTTGAATATGTTATTCTTCAAGTTAATTTATAAACCTTTAATGTTTAAATTATTTTACATATTATTAGTGTTGTTACGGTTCGATTTGAGTTGATTTTTAAAAACGGCTAACTCAATATTTTAATCAGAAAATCATTGTCCAAGCCTCGTTGTGCCCCCTATGAGCAAAATCTTAAGGGTTGCATAATAAAAATGTTGAGTTAGCCTTTTTACAACAGTACTATAATATTATTTCATTCATTTAATGGTCATCTAGCCAATTCGCTTTTAATAAATAAATTAGTGGGGATTCAAGATGGGATTCCGAATCCTTCCATATCCCAATACGACATATATATATATTTTAAGAGCAGGATTAATTTTTTAGTATAATTCTTGTTTTTTTCGATGTAATATATTTATACTAAATCATTTCTGTTTTGAATATATTTTATTTATTTCATATTTATATGTTAGGAAAGACTCGTTAATATCATGCTTGAATCATATATTTAAAAAAAAAAAAATCATATGGCCTTAAAAAGAAGTTTAAAATGCCAATTTTATGAGAAAAAAAATATATATTAAAATATTTATTAGCCAGTTCTAGTGTTGTAAAACGTCTAACTCAATATTTTAGCTAGAAAAATATTGCCTAAGCTTCGATATTTCGATACTATATGTATAGACGTTAGTTCCTTCTATGAGCAAAATCTTCAGGCTTGGGTAATATTTTTCTGGATGAAATATTGAGTTACCCATTTTTAAAAATTGGCTCAAAACGAGCCGTTTAACAACACTAGCCAGTTCCGTTAAAAAAAATAATATACACATATATATATGCTAGCGACAATGTGTTATTTTTTCAACTTTAGATCATTTTCTGGGGCCCATTTTTTAAATTTAAAAATCTAGTTTTGCCGGAAATGTATTAAAGCATGTTTAGAATTACACCCCATCTTATGAAATGTAAATAATTTTACCATTCACTTTTGTGTCATTTATAATTTATATTAAAAAAAATCTATATAAAAACTGATATAAATTATGTAAAATTTAAAAGTTTATGACAAAATTATCTGAAATTCATGGGGTAGGCATTCCAAACATGTTGGAATTACATTACTAAAAAAAATCAGATTTTTAAAATTAAAAAAAAAAATGCGCTCAAAAAGTGATTTAAAGTTTTAAAAAAAATATATATTGTCGCTAACATATACATAAATTTAGTAATATTGGTGGAATTCCTTTAAATTTGTTTCTACTCCCAATGAAAACTTCCTGAATACATGCCTGCCTGAAGTTGACTATCTTTATTAAAATATGGTAGCTCCTTGTGCAAATTCGTAATTTTATTTTTATTATTCATTGAGTTTTTTATCTAAAAAAAAGAAGAATTTAAAAAGGTCATTTTTACAAAAAAAAAACAATTGAAGATTATATAAATATTTATATATTTTTTTTTCTTCTTTTAAATTAGAAGGAAATTTTTGATAATTTATTTAGTTTTAGTTAGTAAGTTAGTTAATTAAATACCTATATTAATTACTCGATAGTGAAATAGAATAAAATTAGAGTTTTACCGTCTTTTAAATCATAACCTCTAAAAAAAATATATATATTTTAATTATCTGTTTAATTCATAGGAAAATATGGTCTCAGAAATACACTGCAGAGAAGGGAAAAAAAAGTAACTTAAATACAGATACAGATCACCTTTAAAAAAAAATTTCCAGAAATATACAAATTTTAGATATACTTTAAAAATGATATACAAATACATACAAGAAGTTTCCCCCATAAAAAAGGTATTTAGAACCCGTGTTCTGGTTCGTCTTATTTCTATACAATCTCTTTTCAGCCATCTGAATTGATTCCTCTAAACAGTCTTTAAAAAAAAAATAGGCTACCTACTACGTAAAAGATCATTTATTTATACCGAAAAAATATATAAATCACAATCAGTTTTTATTAATGTATAAACTTAAAATAGCCAAACCAGGGTATTGTGGTTGGAAGTCTGTTTGGCCAGGACTAAGCAGACGGCCTTTTTACTTTTTCGCTAAAATTTTTAAATATAATATATAATTTAATTTTGAAAAATTTTACGGCCATAGATATTAAAGATAAATAAATCGGACATTATTTAATAAATTGGGAAACACAATAATATCACATGATCTAATTAAAAAAAGTTATCCCCGCAATTAGCAAAAATTTGGCATAAGAATTCAATGTAAAGAGTTTATGTTATCAAATATAAGACAAAGTTCGGCTCGCGCTCAACATGATTAGGTGTTAAGATTTTTTGCACAAGTAGCCCGGCCCATATATTAAGTGTTTTTCCGTGAACCCGACAAAATTTTTTTTACTAATTTTCCCACCCGAGCCCGTTAACATTTTATGAAAAATGAGACCCATGGAATGAAATCTTAATTTCCTGTCCGGGATAGTTAGATTTTTTTTGTACGAAATTTTTTCCCGAATTTAACATTAATATCTAAATCTAATAATCTATATCTAATTTTTCCCCCATTGTCAATTAAGTCTCCGATATTTACCCGGGAGATTCTCAGGGGCAAATAAATAAAATTATAAATAAGAATGATATGGAAAGGGAAGAGGTTAGGGGTTTATTTAAAATTAGTGAAGACGGCATAAAAGAAATAAATGTTGAGAAATGGTATAATGTCGGATGTAATTTGGGAAATAGTGAAATAAATCTAGAATAAAATCAGATGTGGTGTTAAAAAATGGTTCAAAAGAAATAGATATTTCATCAGACTTGTATCATATCCTCATTTCCAACCAGATATATCTCTACTATATACTTCTATAAATATGGGATTAGGTTAAAATTATATTTGTACTCTTATTGGCATTAATGGAGGTGAAATCCTATTTTGTTCTTCGACTATATGTATTAAAACTAGACATTTAATTTGAGCTAGTTATCCTGTCAATAGTAATGCCCATCTCTGATTTCTAAATGTTAACGTTACTAGTAATCTTAGGGTCGGGATGAATAATGATTACAATAATGATTACAAAGGCTTATGATTTATTTCTAATACAAATTGTTAACCGTACAACTGCACTTTAAACTCTGTCATAAAAATAATTGTTAGGGCCCCCTTTCTACTTCATTGTAATTTCTCTCCATTACATTCATAGTTCTTAAAACTATATTAATTGTTCGTAATTCCCATTGTTTTGAGAAATAAGGCTACTAATCCTATAAAGGATACAACAATGGTTAAAATAATTTGAGAAATTATTTAAAATGTCATTGATCAAACCATTAGTGTTGTTAAACGGCTTAATTTGAGCCGATTTTAAAAAACGGCTAACTCAATATTTTATCCAGAAAAATAATATGCAAGCCTAAGGGTACATTCACGGTAGAGAGAGACAGCGATACGACAAACACAACACGACATTGAACGACAGAGCAGCTGATGCGTCGTAAGCGACATAGCATTCATAGTAGTTGCGACAAGCATATTTTTATTTTTTTAAAAAAGGTATCTATACAACTTTAAAATTATTCCTATTAAAACTTTTTATTATATTTTAACCCATATTAAATCAAAACTAATGGTAAAAAAACACATTTTATTAAAAATCATCAGTAGAAGAAAAATTGATAAGTTTATATTAATTTTATTTTATATAATCAAAATTGCTTAGATATTTGGGAACAGGATGTAACTATCCATCGCCTTTCAAAGGCCAGAAGAATGGTGGAATGCACCTTTGGCATATTGGCATCTAAATGGTGTATTCTTAATCGAGCCTTGGATACCAATGTCACCAATAGCGAAACATTTATATTTATGAAAACTTATGCACTATTACATAATTTGGTTATTGATAAAGAAAACATATATCTCCACCCCAAGGATATTTAAGATCCTAAACAAAATAATTATTTATGGAATCCTCAATCTATAAATAACCCCTCAAAGGTTTCTAAAGATATTAGAGATGCCTTTTCTGAATATTTTTATAGAAATAAATTATCATGGCAATTATAACTTTATAATTTAATAAATTTTAAAAATATTACTCTATTTTTTTTTATCTTGATTTGTAATTATTTAATAAAAGAAAGTTTATTTATTATATGTGTCTTAAATATGATGAAAATAATATAAAAGCTCTTCAAAGAAATAATAACAATGCAATATAATATTTTTTATTCATGATCACTTTCATAATTTAACAATAAATCAAAAATAATTTTAATAAGTTTTTTCTTTCCACTTTCAAATCCTTTTGCAAAGGTTTGCTCAAGCATAACATTGATCCAAGAGTTTGTTGATATTCTATTTTCTTTTATTTTTTCTATTTCAAGAATTTGCTCAAATAGATCTAGTTTAAAATTATAAATATATTTACAAATGATGCAAATTACCTTGATCAATATCCCTCTTTTTAATTATTTTGCAAGATAAATTTGATCTTATACAAGATGGTGATGCTAAATATATAGAATATTATTTATATAAAACATGAATCATTCCTTAAAATTGTAGCATCACTACTTGTCTCTATGCAGGGGATTTCAATGGCTATGTATTAATAAAATCTTAAGAATAATTAGTATATTTACCATCTTTATATTGATAATAATTTTCATTACCACTCATTTGTTCATACATTGCTCTAGCAATATTTGCTTCATTAATTTTAGATATAACAGGATTTGTTTTTTTTTCAAATTGGTATACTGAATCCTTGGCTCTATAGTTTTCCCTCACAAAGCATTCTCTTAAATTTTTCCATTAATTTGGCCATCTCTACTGCAAAAGAAAAATACTTCAAATTAATATACTCTTTAATTACCTGTCGCTGATGGTATCTGATGGAGTTGATCAAATCTTCTTTATTGATTTTCTATAAAAAATTATTAACATAATATTTATTTATATTCTAAATATATATATATATATATGTATATATAACATTTATTATTTTAAAAGCATTTCAAAAATTTGTAAATTTTCTTTTTCGGACATATTGTAGTTATGTCGCATAGAAAAAAAACAAAATGATTTGTAACTTGATTTTATGTTTAATGCGACAAATGTGGCGGAATTGTCGCGCGTCGCAAAAGCTTACTATGAATAGTCATTGGTAATTATATATATTTCTATTTTGTCGTGTCGCTTTCTACTGTGAATGCACCCTAACGATTTTGCTCATAGATGGTACATAGGATTGAACATCTATTGACAAAATCTCGACGCTTAGGCAATATTTTCCTGCCTATAATGTTGAGTTAGCCGTTTTTAAAAATCGGCTCAAGAGCTGTTTAGTAATACTACAAACCATTCTTTATATTAAAATTTAAGATTCGATAATGGCAATATTTTAAACTAGGGTTGGCAAGTCGGTCAATTGACTGGTCAAAAATGGTCAATATTCTAAAATTTAATGGTGAATAACTATATTGATTAAATTAATTAATATGTATTTAAAGCATATTTATCAATCTAATTTAATTACAAATTATTTTAATATATTTGTATCATCAAGGCATAGATTTAATTGTAATTTAAAATAATAAAATCATCATAATAAAATATCAGAATTTCAATTTGAAATATAAAAAAAGAATTTTTCTCATTATTAATTTGATTGAATCGAAATATATAAAATATAATAATTTTACTTAAGCATGGTTTGAGAAAATTACTAATTGCCAATTTATATTACATTATGTAGAATTATCCAAACAAGATGGGCATCATGAATAAAATGTAATGAGCAAATTCATATATGCAAGAAAGCTCTGAAAGCTGCTGTTGAAGAAGTATATGTCCGAGAGAAATTACCAATATATTAAATGATATTTTGGACAAAAATTTTAACATTTTAAGCTATTCATAAACATTTAGCTATCTTATTGACCTTGGCTCACATAAAAAACGAGATGATAATTTAGAAAACTCATAGTACAATCATGTCCATGATCTTATAATTCACAAACCTAAAAAAAAAATATTAAAGATACGTTTAAAAAAGAAAACAATCCAAATACATATGCTCACACCGCATTGCTGATTATTTATTGGATCCTCAATATAAGGGGAGCATCTTACTCGAGTTTGATGAAGAAATGCAAAAATTAATCGTTTTATAAATTGATGATCATCAAAATATTAAAGAGATATCATAAATTTCAGAAGTAAAAGCGGCGATATATTTAATAGCCATAATTTGTAGAAACCAGTAATTTTCATAAAAAACAATCAGATTTCGGGCTCAATGAGTTTTATTCACCTTGAATATTATAAGAAGTATCTAAGAAATCCGATTAAAGATTTCGACAACCAGAATTGATAGGATTATATCATAACCTAAGATTGATTTAAAGAAGTTAAAGAAAATGATAAGATTGAATATAAATTAGAACAAGGCTATTCGTGGAGAGCGAGACATTAATTATAGAATTTAGAAAAATGTAATAATATACATAAATTATTTTTTACTAAAATAGAAATTATATTGTCATAAAAAACATTTAATTGAATTTGACCATATTTGGAAGTATTTGATCATATACCCTGTTTTAAATTATGCCATTAAAGTATTAAAAATTTATTCATTTAAAACCATAATTACAGAGTGATAGCTAAATTTAATATTCTAAAAAATGATAATCGTAGTATTAAATTAATTAATATATAAAAATCATGGTTAATACTTATTTATTTATATCCTTTTATATTTTACTAATTATTTAATTTATTTTTTTGAGAATTTTAATTTTTTTGTCCGAGAATAGGGGGGGGGGGTAAGGGGTTAACAAGTTTTTTAGGAGTTATAGTATTGTCATTACTCATTAGCTTATTGTTATAATAAATTTATGGCTTAATGTTTAATAAAGATTTATTTAAGATTTATTATGCATGCCTCCTCAGAAGATCTGACATTAAAGCCTGAGAATAATGGCCCTTAAAATGTTTTAAGATGTGCCTAGTTTTAAATAAATTAGCATAAGCGTTTAGCTAATACCAGAACTCAAACATAATAATAACTTGTTTATATGGTTTAATCCTCCAGGACAAATTGTACTGTAATATTGGATATTTTAAATGCAGATATGTTAAAGGCCATTAATAAGACTCTCAACAATATAAACATGTAATTTTTGATGTCTTGTTTATTGTATTTTGAATAAAAGCAATGGTAGAATCGGACTTTGCTTTTCGAAAGTTTTATTTGCCAACTTTATAAAAAAACAATTTAAAAATTATTATTAATATATTTTTTTCTCGTTCAATTGTTTATTTATTTAGGTTAATATAATTAATATATTTTAATATAGTTTTATTAAAAAAAGTAAATTTATCTAATATTTGCTATCTTTTGCATTGCGATTCATTACCATGCATATGCGATCTGTCGCACTTTCAACCTAGGTATTTTGAGTTTCCTCTTTACAATAATAATTATTATAATTCATATAGATTAGGGGAATTTTATAATTTACATTGCTCTTCTTAGTTCACTGTAACCCATAAGCTTAAGGTATTATTTTTAATTTACTTTATTAACGTTTAAATATAATTATAAGAAAATGTCTGACATTAATTTTTATTTTCTAATTTTCTTAAACAATCAAACCTTAATATTTTAGATTGGGCAAATGTGCATAACAGTTATATTAATAAATAACTTGCATTTAAATCAATAAATTTTAAAATTATAAGAAATTAACAAAGAATGGATGCAAACATCTTATTAATGGTTAAGTAGTACATTTATTCATTATTTTTTGAATGTAATACAATTTCAATTTATGGTACTAATTAATAAATTATATTATTCAAAAAAAAGTTTTAAGTAGATTAGGTAATTTTAGATAGGGTATAAATAATTGTGTAATTAATTATATTATAAAATAATATCAATTTCAGGTATCAGCTAAGTTATTGAATAAATTTTAACTAATTTTTGGATAGTCATTAAAATTTTAAATCATTTGGCTATCCAAATATTCTTATTAGTCTGTCATCTAATTTAGTGTTTATATTATCAATATTATAATAATACTATGATTATCTACATTTTAATAATAAAATATTATATATTCTTTTTAGATTATAAAGTTTAAAAAAATGAACATCTTTAAATAATTTATAAATTTTTTTTCCTATTAAATTATAATAAAAAAATATAATTAATATATATAAAAAAAAATTTCATTATATTTTACTATTTTCTATCATATTCATATATTTTAAGAATATTTTACTTTCCTCAATTAACTAGCCAATTAATAATTTATGAGCCTATGAAAAATAAATTTAAAATATTTCCTTTTACATTATAAGAGGGGTTTATGAGAACTCATTATTATTGGATGCTTTAAAAAAAAATATGTAAATTTTTGAAAGGGTGAGGGCCTAAGTTACTTTATTGCAGGATGGGCACTTTTATTTCAAAAAGTAAATGGTGGGTTTGTATTTTTTTAAAAAAATCTTGCGGCCGATAAATTTTTAGATAAAACTTTATCCTGGATTAAAAAAAATTCTTAGATATTTAGGCCAGCCTTTATTTTTAAATAATTTACCATTAATTAATAATCTTTATATCTTTCTAAATTGTGTAAGAATGGGAATTGAAATATATAAGCATTAAATGACAACACCATAAGATTTTCCAATTAGTTAATTGTAATTCATAAGCACTGTTTAGGCCTGGATTAAAAGTTAAAAATTAACTAGCCATTTATCAAGATTGGCTAGTTAACCCTAGGGTTCCCATTTCTAAATTACTAAAACAAAAATTATTAAAAATTAATAATCTTACTTATCCTAAAAAAAAATTTTAAAGCAATATTGAAAATAATATAGATTGATGCTAGGTAAGTAGACTCCTATATTTAAAATTGAGTTTTTATAAATTTTTTTATAAATGGGGTAAATATTAAGATTTCCAAATTTAGAATTATCACTATATTTCCCCAATTATTTTTAAGGCCTCAATTTAAACACACTTCTCTATCATTTAATATTCCTTTAAATGTTTTTAAAAAATATAAATACGATTCACAATTTTTAAGGATTTAAAACATTTCTGAACTCTAACTTTCCTTCAGGCTCCCTGGGGGAATTAAGTGCAATTTAATGGTTTAAATTGGACAGATAAAATATAATCAAATTTAATTTTTAAAAATAAAATATTGGCTAAAATCTAAAAAAAAAACTAATTTGAAAAAAAATAAAATAAATAATAACCAACACATAATTTATATTTATAAATTTTTTGAATTATATAATGAAATAAAAAGAGGGGGGGGGGTAAGATAGTATCTAATAATCTAACAAGTCGATATGTAGCAGCTTTATGATACCAATTAAGAGATATAATGTAATTAAAATAGGGTTTCCGATTAAATTATTTTGATTGGCGATATTTATCTTTTACACACAGATGCCCCCGAATTAAACTCTTATCTGTTTATTTGTGCAACAAAGTCCACCACCATATTATTTTGTTTTTCCGTTTTTTTTGTTGAATCGCATATTTTTTTTTATCATGCATGTACTATAAAAATTAATTATTATAATATAGTTTAATCCCCATTTGCGATATTTATAAAACATTTTGTTTCTAATTTCGATTAAAAAATTTATCCCGTTTCTTGTTAGATTTTTATGAAATCGCGAGATTCTTGACGAAAATAGCTCGAGAACTTTCTTTCCTACCCTATGTGTCCAATGCTGCTTCTTTTACTTTTGTAAAGCGATATTACAATGCTAATTTGCTTTTTATAAAAAAATATTTATACCAATTATATTTTCATTATACTAAAATTAAATGCTACAAACTGTATAAAATGGTCAAACATTTTTTATCATCCGAATTCTTCATACACTTATTTACTGTAATCCTCTAGCCGCGCCATATTTTTAATTGTTCTTAACCTTGAATCGCCCGCTATTCGGGTTTTCCGATAAAATTGTCGGCTAATAACTATTATGGCGTATTTGAGAAATTATTCTACGCTTTTAAACCAAAAGCGTGACTAGTAGTGGGAATTTTTTAAAAACGTCTACGTCAATATTTTAGCCAAAATAATATTACCTGGGCCACGCGATTTCCCAAATAGATGTTCATATTTTTCTGCACCTATCAAAATCTCTAGGTTTGTTTAAATTCTTAGATTTCGCATATTATTTTGTGAAAATCAATTGGGCCTTTTAACAGCACCAGTGACCAGCGGGTGGCCTACAAGTTACCTTACAAAATTAATTCTTGATTTACTTGACTAGCATCTATCCCCCCCCCCCCTCGTCATATTAAAATACAACGAATCTTCAATTTATTATAATACACCATTATTTATTTAGTTTTAAATGGCTCTACCATCTCTTTTTTCATTCAAAAATTATATTATTATTCATTATTTATTTCTAAAAAAACGGTGAAATATAGAGTAAAATACACTAATAATAATATTATATTTTCAAAAAAAAAAGACGAACCTTTTTCCTTATTCAGTTAACATTTCATTTAATTTTAAACCTAATAATCATATTAAATATCAAAATTTTAGCAAAAATAATATGAAATATTTTATTATATTTTAAAAAAAAATATATATAAATTTAATATTAAAAAAAAATTTTTTTTTAATCATTAAAATCTAATATAGTATTATTAAATATTAAAGTTTTTTATATCCAATTTTTAGTAATATATTATAATAATTCGCATACTTATTTATATTTTGTAAATATATTGACCATATCGGGAGAAAAAATTATTTTTTTTTAAATATCGATATTTTACTTTCACGAAAAAAGATATATATGTGTATGAAAATATTCGCAAATTATCGCTAAAAAAACGTTGATTAAAAAAAATTTAACATCATTTTAAACATTTTTTTTATCAATTCGAGATTTTAAATTGTGTCTTTATTTTCTTATATTTTAACATACAAAAAAAAATTTCAAAATAATGTGCGATACCGTTTTTCTTAACCAACTACTCCCGCTTCCTCCCGTATTCAAAATCTTGCACGCCAACGTTCCTCTCGATCCTCGGGCTCATCAATTTATAGTAGCCCCCGCTAACGCCATCCCATTAGATTCCCCGTTTAAACCACCTCTTCTCGATTTAAATAATAATTTCGCGCGCTTACCTACTTTCGACTCGACGCTATTCTTACCCGAAGCCAGTCCTTGTACATTCGATCCTAATTCACTTTTATCATCGAAGAATCCCTTTCAATTCTTGAGATTCGAATCGATCCCGGAGAAAAAGATCCACAAGCCTCAACGATCTTCTATCGATAAACGTCACCTTCACCTGCGCAAAAAATTGACGAGAGCCATTAAAAAGGCCCTTCTCGCTACGACTACACTCTCGGAAAAGGACGAAGTATTTTCTACCGATCAATATCCACGCGATAAAGAGCCAACTTTAAACAACCTTATGGATTACTTTCACAACTCTTACAGGTCCAATTTCGTGAGGCCTGGAGCTATGAATGGCCCAAATCCGCCTCCTTATCGTGTAAATTCTCCTGGTAGACCTACCGGATTCTATCCTAACATTTCTATGCGTTATTCCATGAATCGCCCTCCTCCTCCCGGCAGGCGCTTTCCGTTTAATCCTCGAACCAGCAGCCCCAACCCGCGCTATGGCAATAGTGTCACTTACAACCCCCAACCCACAAGACCCCCTGCTCAATTTACTCCCGCATTTTCTGCCCCGGTAGACCCTGTCTTCGAGGCGGTTAAGGCCGAGGCCGCTAAGAGGGATCCCAGTCTATACGGATTTTTGGCGAATAAAGCGACGGTCATGCCTAACAAAAGACTGGAGAAGTAAAATTTGATAAAATATATTTTTTTTACTCCATTTACCAAATTCTGCTGTTACTACACAAGTCAGTCATAAATTTTTGCCTACATGTAATCTTTAAAAATAAAATCGCGAAATTCAGGCTCGGCCTAAATTTTTTTTTGGGATTAGTCAATCCAATCTCTTTAGCTCTCTCTTTAAATTATTAACTTATGGGTAGCGTTGTTAAACATCTATTTTTTTTACAACGGCTAGCCCGATATATTTCTTGAACATAGATGGCAGAAATGTTTGAACTCCAGGCTTGCCTAATATTATTTTAACCAAAATCTTAATTTAAAATCGGCTATATAACACCATCTTATGGGAAAGAAAGGCGGATATAAAAAAATAAAAAGAAAGAAAATTAAAATTTTATTAACATTCAAGTTAACGAAAAGCGTTATAAATATTAGTTTTTTTTAAGAAAAACAATATAAGAAAAAAATAATTAAAAATCAATTAATTCCTAGATAAACGAGTATAATTTTCAAACATCTATATATATATATATAAGAGGGACCCGAACCTTCATTTATAATGTTTCGGTTCAGCTAATTGTAAAGGCTCATTACGATTATAAATTTTTTTCTAAATTATTTTTATTGAAGCAACAACCATCGTACAATGATTTTAATTGTGAATATTATTAATTAAAATTTTTGCCATCACTTAAGCTAATAATAATATTGTTTATCTATAAAATAGATTAAATTAATTTATTTTTATCATAAATATCTATGAATAATATATATATTATATAAAATATATAAGAATTATAACTCATTTTTAAATATTATTCGGACGTATAATAAGTATAATTTATAATATAAGTAGATTCATATTTGTTTATAACTCATTTTTAAATATTATTCGGACGTATAATAAGTATAATTTCTAATATAAGTAGATTCATATTTGTTCGTTGTGACGATAACATAAATTTTAGCCCCTAAAAATCCCTTTTAACAGATACTTGTGTTATAGGAACCGCAAATACTATAAGGGCAAGTTTATATAATTCTGGATATTCAAATTTTTTTGATTCCCCATATATAAAAACTAATGATTTTTTGGATTCATTAAATAAATGCAACTAAATCAAAAATTAGTTATTAAAATATAGAAAATAAGAATGGCTTTAATATTATTAGAAATTAAAAAAAAATACGAGGTCAAAGCAGATATTGTAAAATTATAATATTGATAAACTAATTAGAATTCATCATCAATTTGTAAAGCCACATCATATGGATATTATTGGTTTTTAAGCATTTACAATCCCTCACCTAAAAAATATGTAAAAAAACAGATTTTAACGATTTGCAAATACTTGCATTTAAAGACAACACAAAATTTATTTTTCATAATGAAGACTACAAGTATAACTACTAATAAGACCGGAAAAAATATTGGATACGCTTTTTTTAAAATATTTGGTGTTAATTTCTCCAAAAAAAATAATATTTACAAAATCAAATTTAAGAGGAGGAAAATTTAAATGTTGACTTAGCCAAATCCAGCCCGAATGAAAAATTTAAGATCAATACGCGGTTCGGATAGTTATACAAAAATATTCAAAATGGATGTTTTTTCATTGTATTCCACAATTTGCAATCTTACCCCAAAATTTTCGACAATTTTGTCTTCCATAAACTTTTGGACTATTATTTTTATTCGTTTTTTTTCAATATAAATTTTTCCACATACATTTAAACCAACAAAAAAATTGTCAGGGATTCATTGGGATACACATTCTTGAATACGTGTCCCGTTCATAACATGGATTATATTTTCTAATCACCTTTTAGAGCATCCATTTTGAGTAAACAGTTCGGTCCGATTAAATCCTAGAGAATGGATGCTGGAAATGAGTTTGGTGCATAGGGATTTTAGTCAAAGAGGGCAGAACTCCCACAGTTTGACCCAGCTGGCTTTAAATTGAAAAATGAAAATTAATTATAGTATAAATAAATCGCTTTTATATTTATTATCTTTTTTAATTTGCCACTTAAAAACTTTAACTTAATTAAATAATTGTCACTCTTTTTTTTTGACAAACTACCTTTATTTATTTTATTCCAAATCGATTATTTTTTTCTTTCAAAAATGTAATTATTTTTTGTTTTACCGGTAGATGAGGGATCAGAGCATCTACCTTTTTTTGTTTATTTTTAAAAAAAAACATGTGATCTAAGACTCAAACTATTTCTCAAAATTGTCATCCTGTCAACAATAATTTCTAATTTTATCAGCGACCCGCTGAAGAGATGAACATTTTTAGGACCACCCATGATTTTTTTTCTCTGGGTGGGTGAATTTTTATTCGGCTAATAGCATATTTCAAAGGAAAAATTTAAAAACACAATTTTTTCCCAGGAATCCAAACCGCTTAAATTGTTATGTTTTTTTATTGAACCTTCAAAAATTTTTTGACATTTGAACCGAACCTCTGGAAAAGGATCTTTGAACCCTTGATATTTTAAACTGTTTATATTATCACTTTTGATTGAAATCGGCATTCTCGATATTAATTATTTTCGTATTTGGCTATGGGTGGAAATGCCCAGCTACCCAAGTTGACCTATATGAATATTCTCAACCATAAAAAAAAGCTTCATTTTCCTTATAAATTATAAATCAATTCCGAAAATATGATATAAATAAATTTACCACGGCGTTCAATGAAAATTCATTTAAATTATTTATTTTGATTAAAATACTACCGTTTTATTTGATAAATTATGAATTTAAGGTTATTAGTTAGTTGTTGTTCAAAAGCCCGATTCGGGTCGATTTTTAAAAACGGCTCGAATAAGATTATAACCAAGATAATATTCTGTACGTCTGATGATTCTGCTCATGGATGGCATAAAGGTTTGGGCTTCTACCAATGACATATAATTATACCTAGACTGACGATGCATCCATAAAAATGCATTTGAATGCAAATCAGCTGGACCCGCCATTGATAACCCATATATCTTAATTATTCTCTCATGTTAAAAACTACTATTAAATTGATAACTTGTTTCCTTATTATCTCGATGATCAATTCTTTTTAAGTTTGCATCACAGATGTAGGAATAAATTGGCTTCTCATTTAAAATTTTTACTCAAAATAGCGTCCCCAGCTGTTTTTATTGACGTACACTTTTAATGAATGCATCGTCAGTCTAGATATTATTATATGTCATTGGCTTCTACTTGCCGAATCTTGAGGTTTATACAATATTATTTTGGCTAAAATCTTGATACCCAAATCTGGCTTTTTGACAACAGTATATTAATAAATGATTAAATGGGCATTAGTTTCTTTATGAAGTCTTATTAGATAAAGTTGTTTTTTTTTAAAAAAAAGGGTTCTCATTTTATACGTAATTTGTCGAAATACTCGAACCGGGTTTTAAAGGTTAAACCCGAACCGATATTATTATTTTTACAAACCGGAACACCAAACCGATATTCGTCATGTGCTTTACATTTTTGGCACTACTTACTAAACTCCTTTTTATTAAAATTAACACTCCCTTCTCCTTTTTTTGTTATAAATATAGAAATAATATTTATTTATGAGCACTGGTAGTTCCTACTTTAATTTATTCAACTTGTGGTATTTTTTTTTGTATAAATATAAATAAATACACATCTTCGCAGTTATAGATAATGTGTTTTAATACTCTATTGCCACTTTGCCAGCAACAAAAAAAAATGGTATTGATCAAAAATTATATTATCGTATAATAATAATATAAACTAATATTATCCCATCTACCATCCCTCCCTTACTCCTTATATATTTTTTTGAGTGATTCGTATTAAATCTAATTACATTTTTTTTCACTAGTTTTTTTTTAGATAGATATGGATGGACAGAGATGATATGATAGGGATTTATTTTATTTTTTTTTACCACAAATCTAATTAGTAATTACATTTACTGAGTTTTCCTTTCCTTTTCTTTATTTCACTTATATATATATAATATATAACCAATATTTTGAGGATGATATATGATGTTTTTATTTCTACCAAAATTCAAAAATATATTATTTATTTTTTTCAAAATGAATATTTTTTACGAGAAAAAACATGCTCACCATGAATGTGAAAATTTTTGACTCTATTTAGCGGAAATTTTGATAACAAGGAACTTAATCGAAACCTATTTTCCTAGAGGATTTGAAACCGCTCCAGGTCCATATTACCCCGGGTTCGATGGGTTGTGGTTTCCAAGTGTCTAGCCCAACAATTTTATATTCATTTAATCTTTATTTTTACATGAAAACGATTTTAAAAAATCCATGCCACGCTACCTATTGTAACTTAGTTTTTTTAATCTGGTGATGGGGGGGGATAATGTTTTGAGTTGACTCTAACTCATGCCCCTATAATAATCGGATGAGCATATGGTCGATGATGGGCATGCGCATGGATGTCAACAGCAAAACGGAATTGAGGAATTAAAAAAACCTAACCAAAGATTGCATTTGGTAAACTGAAAATCTTTTTTTTTAATCCTAGTCCTTACTCAAATGAAATATGAATGTGATTATTTCTAAAAGTGAATAATTTTTTTTTATATTCGAAGGAAGGCGAAATACGCTAAAGCTACTATAAAATGCGAAGCGTGTAACGCGAAATTTCTTACTGAATATCTCCACGAAGCCCACACCAAAACAGAAAGACACATTCAGCGGGCCGAATCTTTTGAAGCCGCTAAACAGGCGGTAGAAGAAGGTAAATCGATTCGTTCATTCACATGTTTATGAGTTGATAGAAGATACGATCATTTTTTTCAATAAATTTATTGGTTTAAAAATGATTTTTATTTTCTATGTAAACGAAGTTAGCGATTAATTTCTTTTGGAAATATTTGGCGCCATAATTCTTTCACGTGAGCGCAAATAAAAACGATTTTTTTGAGATAGCTTAATTAGGAATTTTCCCCAAAATTCCAATTTTTAAAAATATTTATTAAGAGAGGTTTAAGTTTATAAGGGATTTCATTTGGGATTATATGAGTGCACCAACAAAGTAAATAAGATATTCATAATACTATATATATACACACACACTATACTAATTTATTTATATTTTTTTAAAATAGGGAAGATTGTAAAAATCGACAATTGTAAGGTATCCCAATTTTACTGCGAGGCCTGCAGCGTTCATCTCAACTCTGTCGTGCAATACGATTTGCACATTAAAGGTTGGACACTTATTTTTAAAATTTATAATAGGACACTAGTGAAGGTCACGGTCCGGTCTTTGGTCCGAACTGGACCGATATCCTCGGACCGGACCACGGTCCTTAAGAAAAAGATCGATCTAGACCGTGGTCCTAAATGACCGGACTTTTTATTTGTTTAAAAAACTTTTTTAACCTAATTTAATTTGTTTTATCATTTTATTAAATATAAGAGTATTATATAAACAATAAAATTTATCCAATGGTATTGAAGAAAGTGATTTTGTGCTTGTGGAGGGCATATTAAAATTAAGAGTAGATTGTGATTTTGAGATATTTTCATTTTCATCATTAGAAATATATATTTTATGTTTTATCAGATGTCTGCTTAAGGTACCTAATTATTTTATTATGAATAAGGTTAAGTTATTTTGACAATGAATTATTCAGACAGTTTTAAGAAAAAATAGAACTATATAAATAATAACCAAAATATTTTAATAATAATACTGCTTATTTTGATTAATTTATTGCTTAAAAAATTATAAACAATTATTTTGTTACTTGTTGCTGACGATACATTAAATTTGGTACTGCAGTGAACACATACTCTATGTTTTTTATTGTGACTATAAGTAAAATGTTTCTTAGACAAACTTATGGTTTTCATATTGTAAAATAAAAATTAACAAAATCTAAAATAACTCATCTAGAAAAAATATCATAAAATAAAATATATTAATTGAATAGTAAAGCAAACTTAAATAATAATAAAAGACCGGTCCGGACCACGGTCTGGACCGTAAAAGATAAAAAGACTGATCCGGACCACAGTCCTCAAAAAAAGATCGGTCCCGGTCCAAGACCGATAGGACCGGACCGTTGACCTTCACTATAGGACACGTAGTATATCATTTTTTAAATAAAAAGGTTATATTATATAATTTAAGTTTTTTGGCTGCATCATAAGATGCAGAGGAGAATAATTTTTATTTTTCTCCACTTGAATTACCCTTTATCGAAATAATTTTATACCCTATTCTCCTGGTGTGACAATAAAACTTCTCATTTGATGCATCTTTGCGATCAAACTCTATGTCAACTCTGGCTAATATTTTCTGATTTTATTTTGCCCGGCCCCCCTTGTTCTTTCCTCGAAATTTAAAATGGCAAACTTGTTTAAAATATAATTAATATGCATTTTTCGGCGATTTCCATTCATCTCTTAATGATGCACGATTTTAAATTAGGAAAGTTATCACGACATTTTGGATTCTCTAATTTTCTTTATTGAAATCAAAGGAGATGTGTCTAAATCATGATCTCCGAGAGCAAATATTATTGTCAGATGAAGATCATAAAACCTGATGAGTCATTCCACGTCAAATGAGCAAAAAAAAATGAGATTTTCGGCCGACCCCCTACGATTTTTTTAAAATTTGGTAAGCAAAGAAAGGTCAATGTAACTAAGAAATAGCCAAAATTTTAGCCTCCTAACATTTATATTTTTGAAGATATTAGGGTTCAAAGTGGCAAAAATGACGTATTTTTACCATTATCTGCCTTCATTCAATTAAGCATATCTTAAAAACTACATAATTGTAAATAACAAATTTAATATCAAAATTACGTACAAAGATTCTACTTTTAGATAAATAAAAATTTTTATTTTTTTTCCAATTTCCGGTCATTTTATTTAATATATAAGGACTAAAAACGATTTTTTGGAAATAATACGACCTTCAATTTTTTTAAAAAATTTAGTAGACATTATTAAACTCTTCCTTTATATTTATAAAAAAAAATTGGTCTGGGACGCGGCCATCTTCATTCTCAAAATGGATAAAAATGTTTAGGAAAGTGTATAAATATTTTCCCGAAAGGGGGCGTCTTTGTATAAAATTATATATTAATAATTTTTTAATGGTTTTTCTTGAACTATTTGATATAATTAAAAGGATTATTCATCTTGTAAGTGAAAATAACAATAAATGGAGCTTTCATTCAATTATAGAAATTGTCTATCGATAAAAGAAATTCAATTTATTACTTTATTTATAATTTATTATAAAAATTTTTGCCCATATAACATATATTTAATAAATATTAATAAAATATGTTCAATTAAGTTTCGAGTTCTTGAATATATGAACCAGAATCTTGTGCATTTCATATATGGCGCCCTAAATATTAAAAAAATTGATATAATTTAAATTTAAACTCACTTTTAAAAGATTCTAATTTTTCGGTAGCGCATTTACTTTCTTGTGACGACAATGTATAGTATAACTACGGCCAGTAGCATTTAACAGTGAAACTAATGTTAAGATATGACATTTGGGCAAGCAAAGAGTGTCGTCTATACTTGGAAATGTAAAGGAATTAGAAGGTCCGGATGGGTGTAGAAACTTTATATATATTTCTTCCTGCTTTTGATTTTTCACTAAAACAAAGCTAACCACCAATTAGAATCATAAGGATACGTTAGGTATCCTGATATTTCTTCAATAATTATACTTTCATCATTATATGATAACTATTCTAAAGTACTTTCTATTGAATTGGAATACATTTTACTTTTAAATTATGTAGATCTGTTGGAATCAAGGTGTGTATTTTGTGTGTTCCAGGTATAGATCTAGTTTTTAAAATCTTTCCCTGAGTAATAGATCTTCGTAATCATTATTTATTTTGGTCATCTATTCAAAATATATGACATTAATATTTTCTTTAGCTAACTCGTACAATTCATATGATGTGTACTTTGAGTAAGGCCTTGTAAACTAGCTCTAGAGGCTAATCTTTTAACAGTGCCACCAATCCCATCACAAACACTTTTCCCGTGTGCTGTAGCAGAAAAATGCCATTTCGCCTGTACCCCGAAATCCATCTCATGATAGCAAATATTAATAAAATTTTTACGATTTTTATACTGTGCAGCGGATCCACCGGAAAACAAAAAATTTTATTAATTAAAAAATTTAGCAATGTTTTTTTAAAGTTATGTACTGCTATTGTATTGTGTTGCAAAGATTCGGATATCATTACATAATTTAGGCAACAAATATTGGCAAAATTATCTTTATAATATATAACAAAAGGGTGAACAGTGGATTGAGCCCTATTCCAATGATAATTTTGTACTTCATCCTAAAGTATAAATCTATAGTTTTCTTAAAAATCACAAAATTAAATATTGGTCTTCGTCTAAGTTCAATTTTAGATTGTTTTGATACAACGATTGTTGCGTTGAAATAAAAAAATGATAAAGATTCCATTTTTTTTAAAAAAGGCATTGATAAATTCACCTACTGGTTTGGTTATTGTTTCAAGAGTGGTTCTATCTACGGATAGCCATTGTTTGTATGTTATAAATTCGATGTCCTTAGAACGAAACAATATTTCTATTTGATCGCGTAAATGTGTTGACCCTAAACAATTATCACATTTGCCCATATAACTGGATGGTTGAGGCCAATTACAAATTATTAAGTGTAAAATATGTTTGTATGTTTTAAAGGGCAACATATCATTGGTTAAATTTGATCCAATGATCATTAATTTAAATTTTGGTGGTAGCTGCAATCACATACATGTGTACCACTACCTTCAACAAGTATATAATTTTTGGGCGAATGCTTGCGAATTTCGAAAAACCAATTTTAACATCAGGCCTCATTTCTTTAAAAAATATATAAATTTTTTTCAAATTATCTAAAATTAATCTCTTATGTATGGTATTCTTTTTTCCGTCTTTGGTCAAAATCGAAACGCAATCTTTCTTGCCTGGCATGATTCTGCTTATTTCGTCCATACAATAAAATTCTTGTACAATTTTAACTGTATATTCGTCTATAGTTTTTCCAGGCTTGGGGTTAGGTGTTGATAGAAATCAAAATACCAAGAAATTTATTAAAAAATGAATTAATATAGTGAGCATGTGTTATTGAATGATTAAAACCCTTTCGCGCCCGAAATATTTCCCATGAACAAAAAATACTTGTACTTTGATATAATAAAATAATCATTTTGACATTTTGATATAATAAAATAATCATTTTGACAGGTTAATGATAAAATATGAATTAATAAATATTGTTTTATAAATTAATATCTCTAAGTACCAACCATTAGTTTCTTTAAATATAAAAATTAATTGATTAAAAATTTTAATGACAAATGATCTCGCTGGGCGCGAATCAATTTTAAAATTTTTATTTATTTTATTAATTGAAACACTTATTTATTGTTATTCTAATTTAGTAAGGCTATGCCGATTTTAGAAAATCCGATCCAATATTTATATTGTTTTGGGTAATTTTATGATAATACTTTTATTTTGTATATAATTTCATAATTGTAATATTTTAAAAATATCAAATTATTTTAAAAAATTGAGTAGAGAAAATTTTGATATTATTTTTGGCGTCTATGAAATGGATAAGATTATGATTCATATATTCAAGAACTATAAACTTGGTTGAATATATTTTATTAATATTCATTAAATATATGTTATATGGGCAAAAAATTTTATAATAAAGTAATAAATTGAATTTCTTTTATCGATAGACAATTTCTATAATTGAATGAAAGCCCCATTTATTGTTATTTTCACTTACAAGATAAATAATCCTTTAAATTATATCAAATAGTCCAAGAAAAACCATTAAAAACTGATTAATATATAATTTTATACAAAGACGCCCCCTTTCAGGGAAATATTTATACACTTTTCTAAACATTTTTATCGATTTTGAGAATGAAGATGGCAGCGTCCCAGACCAATTTTTTTTTATAAATATAAAGGAAGAGTTTAATAATGTCTACTAAATTTTTTAAAAAAATTGAAGGTCGTATTATTTCCAAAAAATTGTTTTAGTCCTTATATATTAAATAAAATGACCGGAAATTGGAAAAAAAAATAAAAAATTTTTTTTATCTAAAAGTAGAATCTTTGTACGTAATTTTGATATTAAATTTGTTATTTACAATTATGTAGTTTTTAAGATATGCTTAAT